ATGCTGTTCAATGGCCTGATACGAGTGTCTGCAAGAGGAAATTGAGGATGCGCTTGAGGTGACAATGGGATCACTTTGGTGTGGGCTCATATCCCAGTGGAATCTGGTGCTGACATCAGTAAGGTTTACTGAGGCCTTTCTTAGCTCTTTACTCTGGAGCTGCCCACTCTGTGAGCTTTCTTTCTGCCTAGAGCTTTGGGGGTACTGTCATGCTATGCAATTATTCTTTTCATTTAGAGAAACAAGTCTTTCCCTGACATCAGGGTGCATGTACCTAATGGAAATATCCCTGTACTATAATGAAGAGATAATCTGACTGGCAACAGAAGAAACAGAATAAGAGTTTTGATGCCTCGTCCAGACTAGATTATGAATATGCTGAAGATCAAAAACTGGCTTGACAGTAGCCTTACCTCACAGCTGGCTCCTGCCTTGTCTGCAATTTGGGAACAGACTTGGTTGAAAGGCTAGAGAAGAAGCTTAGGTAAGTCAGTGACAAATTGATTTAGGAGCCTCCCGGGGAAAGTTTATGGGTCAAGGGTCCTGTTAGTAGAAAAATATTTCAGGGGGATATGAGAAAACAGTGGAGAGGGCACAGCACACGACTGGGAGTGAAAAGACTTGGTCTGGCCAGGTGTGGTGGTATACACCTATAATCCCCGCACTTGGGAAGCTGAGGCAAGGGGATCATTATGAGTTTGTGGCCAGTCTGGGTGACATAGTGAGTTTAAGACCATTCTGAACCATATAGCAAGATCCTGTCTCAATCTCCTCCCCACAAAAAGACACTTGGTCTTCTGCCTTGAGCTATCTGCTTCTGTATCTTGGACTGATCAGGCCTGCAACCTCCCAAATGAGTGGGAAGTGAAGGCTTAAATAAAAGAGAGAAGTGGTATGATTTTAGGCCTCCAGGAGGATTAAAACCCTCTATCAGAGTTTAAGATTGTCTGGAGGCTGAGATAAAGAACTTCTCTGGGTGGCCCCTATTTATTTGGTTTTCAAACAAAGGAAGGGGATCCTGAGAAAAGCATGGAAAACTGAGCAGGACTTTAGGAGTAATTACAAAGACTTCCCCAAGTAGTAAATTATGCTAATTAGGAGAACTATTTTATCTCCAGGTTGATATTCACCACAGAAGTGAGACACCTACAATTACAATCTCTAGTTAATTGGGGTTGGAGCCAGGTGTCCTCAGCTGTGGCCTTATCTTGTCCTTTGAGGTATCACAGCACCACAGGCCATTACAGGCCTCAACACGGTCCAGTGACTCATAGAGTTTCACTTACTGTGAATGCATTGCCCATCTCCAGACAAGGAATGCAGGCCTGGGACAGACTCACAAGTAAACATAGAAAGGCAATTGATTAATTTTAAATCCTGCTCACAGACACTTGGTAGTGGTCTCCATCACTTCTCAGCAAGTTTGTTGAGCTATTCCTAAACCTCACATCCCAGTCTGTAAATTTGGTATAATAAAGTTTGCAACTGTTTTAGTTACTTTTCTCTTATTACTGAGACAAAACACTCAATACCCAAAGTTAAAGGGGAAAGGATTAATTCAGCTCACAGTTTGTAGAGGTTTCAGTTCATAACTGACTCGTTCTGAGGCAGAGTGGCATGGCGGAGGAGCAACAGTCCATGGTGGTGGAAGACAGCAGAAGCAACAAGGTAGGGAAGGAGATAAACCTCTTTTTGTCCCTTATATTGTATCTAACCTACCAGGATTAGGGCAGTTCCAATCGAATCAGTGGACTGATCCAGCAGTTACCCATTCTTAATCCCAGCACCCTTAATCCTAGCATTGTACCATGAATCAATCAGTCACATACTCTAGATTCAGCCACCTCTGAAAAAGCCCCATCTAAAACTGCATGAGGCTTTGTGAGGACATCTAGACCCAAACCACAACAGCACACTTCCTCTTATGGGTGACAGAAGGTGAAAGTTTGCCAGTCTTCAGAGTTTTCACTCTGTGAATCCCCAAAGCATTGCATGAAACCTCCTACTTTTAATGAGTGTGTATATGTGTGTGTGTGTTAGTGGTAGGTGGGATAAGAAGAAGGATACTATTTGCACACACCTGTAGGAGGCTGAGGCAGGAGAATTGGAAGTTCAAACCCACCCTGAGTGGCAGAGAGTATCTAAGGAAGGAAGGAAGGAAGGGAGAGAGAGAGGGAGGGAGGGCTAGGGATGTAGCTCAGTGTAAAGGTTCTGGGTTCTATCCTCAGTACTGAAAAAAATAAGGGGGGTATAGATCTATTGGCTGATAACCTCAATTCAGTATTCTTCTGAATATTCCTCCAAGAGTCTACCAAAGTTTTTCATTTTTAGGCCACTTTAGAAATAATTGGATTTCTTTTGCTGAGAAGGATTTTCTTTTAAATATGCCCTCTCTCTCTCTGATGTTTAAATTGTTTTCATAACTGCTGTAGTCTGGCTTTCACTGTGATTTTGGATGGGGCCACAGGAATTTAGGAATATTATATGACTTCCCAGTTCTATTGGTAAAGTTCTGTCTCCTCAAAAGGACCAATTGACAATTGATATGGGAAGAGATGAAAGAGCGATCCATTCAAGTATAGAAGTCAGGATATATGGACTATAAAAAAACATGGTGCTGATGAGGGAATTTGGCTTAGGAAGATCAGAGAAGATTTCATGGAGGAATTAATGATTGAGCTGAGATCCTAAGAATCACTGAACTTTAACTAAACAAAGAGAGTGGTAGAAAGTGCATATACACACACACACCCGCACACACAATGAGCATTTCAGGCAGAGGGAAGAGAACGTGCAGAAGACTTACAGTGAAAAGGAACATGGCACAGTCTAGAAACAAACAGAATACTACCTTTAGCTAGTTGTGCATATTTAATTCAAAATTTAAACTGGATTTAGGGGTTGAAAGGCGAAAATGCAATAGTATCCAGTTTCAGAATACTGTTAGGCTATATCATATATGTTGAAATTTTACCCACTGTGGATACAGCATACGAAACACTATTGCAAAAAGAAACAAATACACCCATACTGTTGAGTCAATAATCTGGACAGTGAATAGCACAGATGAGAAATATGTCAAATGCAAATCTTCCTCACAATGTTTTGCCCAACATACACAACTGTGTATGTAGTACCCAGATGAATTCCTACATAGCTGTTTGGGTGAGGTGACTTAAGCCCACTGAAGAGAACTGAAGAAAGTTTCAGCAAGTATCAAGTCCTGAATAGTATTCTGTGGAAGATATGAATTGGTGAATAGAAGAGAAGGGGTTTCCAGCATCAGAGACAGTATGAGTGATGTCTTGGTAGTAGAAAGACTGTCTAATTAGGGAAATTTGGGATCAATTAGGCACACATGAATGTAAAAGCAATGAAATCTAATTTGGGGCCATCTTAGACTCTCTATGTCCCATTAACTAGTCAATTAAAATGAGGAAAATTAAAGTTTACTGGTTACCATGTGCATAGGAATAAGGGGCTATCTGATTGGATTTAGCCTTTAAATAATAAATTGTAATAAATATTAGTATTACCATCCTGAGCATAGTGTGGACAAGCTTTCTACAAAAGCTCAGGGGGAGGTGAAGGTTGCTGCCTGTTCTTCTCAGGATTTCTGTGCAATTTTGTGTAATTGGGCACCTACCACGATTTCTGGAGTTCTCTTTGCTTAAGCATATCATTTTAGCAGTTATTTTAGTACATCATAAAATAATGGCTCTTCTTTCTCTGGGCATTACCATTATTTGAGATAATGATTAAAAACTACAAATCCTCTAAACAAAGCAGTCTACTTCTGGTAAAATAGAAGGCAATGGGATGGATGTGTTGGAGCAGGTGACATTTCCCATCACACTTGAAACTAAAACTATGCCCTAAGCATCTTGGCTTTTGTTCTAATTTACACTTCCTGAGTGTTGAATCAGTAAGCTGGGACAGATGCATGTATTAAGAGGGAGCGAGCTCAATATTTGCCTGTCTGTTCTCTCGATGATGCAAGATATGGCCCACTGAAAGCAGCCTATGTTCAACTGTATACCACCATTATGCCTTGACCCCTGCAAAGCCTCATGCACTCATAGATGGGGCTTTTTGGAGCTTGATGGATCTAGGGTGTGTGATACTGAAACTAAGGGTATCTGGTACTCAATGAGGCCACTAATCGGAATTACCATAGTTCTGGGTGTGGCTGAAAAGACTTACTGAACACAGAAACCTTACCATGGATGTGGGTGGCACCACTCAAAAGACATGTAGCCTGGATGGGATAAAAGAGAAAAGTAGGCTCACTGCTTGCTGCTGCTGCCTTCTACCTGCTATGCCATGAACTGTTTCTCCTCTGTGATGTTCCTCTGCCATGCCACCCTGCCTTGGAGCCAGCAACTATGGACTGAAACTTCTATAAACTGTGAGCTGAAAGAAGCCTTTCCTCTTTCAAACTGTGGAAGTTGGCTATTTTCTGTCAGCAGTGAGAAAAAGTAATTAAGGCATCCACTTTGATTAAAAGTGTGAAGCTGTGGGGTCATCATGGCCCAGGGTTTACATCCTAACTCTACCACGTTCTTTGCTGCATAATTTTTCACAATTAACCTGTGCCTCAGTCGCCTCATTTTTTGTAAAACAAGAATAATACGAATACCTATTTCATGTAGTTACTGTGATGATCAATGTGTAAAAAACTTAGGATGTTTGACACTTAGTCAAGTTGCTCTTGTATCATTGTCACTAGCAATGCCACACTATCATAACCCACATTACCCTTAGGTTTCCCTTTAACAGGAAAATAAAATCTTATAACCTCTTGCTAGAGCAGAGACCAGAAAATAGCAAAGGAGGAAGTAGGAAACCCATTTGCATTCACTACCTCATGTTCATACCCTAACTATAATATCTTAATGTAAAAAGGTGAATATTATACTTTCAGGGATCATTTTTATAGTTTGTTATGAAAGGGAATGTATGAGACCCCAATCCCCATATCTGTGTCCTTGTTTCTACAGGTACCTGCCAGCTTGGCTGGGCCTATTACTGTGCTGGAGGTGGAGCAGCTGCAGCTATGCTGATCTGCACTTGGCTCTCTTGTTTTGCTGGAAGAAATCCCAAGCCTGCCATGTTGGTGGAGAGCATCATGAAGAACACCAATTCTTATGCTGTGGAGCTTGACCATTGCCTCAAACCCTGAGCTTTGAAAGAAGATTGATTGGAGATGGTGGGAAAGGAAAGGAAAGGGAACCTGGAAAGATGTACTAAGACAAGATTAGGCCAGTTGGTACCCACTGGCCAGTAGTGCAGCCTACTATTTGCATGCTTTTTGTCCACCTGTCATTTACTTTCACTTTCCTGTAAACCAGTGGGTCAGTGGTTATTTACAAAACTCACATAGAACAGTGATTCTCTTAAACATTTAACCAACCAGTGAGTGTCCAAAGATGCCCAAGTCTAAATGTGCTCCTTTATACAAAATAAGAAGATTCTGACTTGAAAGGTAACTGCATAACCACGCATCTCTTCGGAGTTCTTCAGCTCCTATCTTCTGCTTATGCCAAAACTTAAAGGCCAAGTCAGAACAGTTGTACACGGATGGGCCACAAGATGGACAAGGCTGGATGCTGCCATTCCCCTTAGTATTTATCGCCATCCCCAGTCATCTTTGGAATGAATATCTGTGACTTTCTTAGGACTACACCTTCTCCTAGGTTTCTTCCTTCACAGTTGTGAGGAAGCTTGGTGAGAGGATAACTCCCAGTAGGAAAAACATAACTCATAGATGCGTGCATATAATCTGAGGCCCCTTCTGCATTATACTTTGGAATATTCATAGGTATTCATTTTTTGTTCTGATTGGGTGACTAGCATCAAAATATAGTAGCAAGTATTTCCTAATCCCTTATAGGTATGGAAATGATGTTCATCAACGTTTGTTGAGTATTCAATAAATATGAATTCACAGTGACGATGAAAAGATGTTTCTACTGAACCTCATTGAAATTCCTATCAGAGTTCATTAAAATTGACTAGGAAATCTTCAGAGGCATGTTTCCCTTGTAGTCAGTCACCCCTGGTGTGGATAGAAGCTTCTCTGCCTGTTTCAATGACTGCTCATTAAATGATCTCTCCTCCATCTGGGTTAAGTTAGACATGAAAGAGCAGAGTCCTGATGTCACCTAAGGCTGGTGTATTTTTAGGCCTGACCTTTATCCATCTGTACTCAAGCCTGATGGTTGGTGTAGAATCTGGTGTCTCCTTGGGGCAAAATTACTCTCACTCCTTTCCTCAGTTAATTCAGGCCAGATCTATTGATCCATATCCAAAACTTTGGGGTCTGTGGAAGGCCTGTGACTCAAACGACCAGCTCATGTTCTATTCTTCATTTTTCCTGCATGATTTGGGTAGAGCCATACCTAGAAGGAGCGAAAAGGAAAAAAGCTGGCTTCATGAATGATATGCCATCCTTCAAAGAGTCAGGATTCTTATATTGACCTCAGGTACATAAGTGAATTCAAGCATATACTGCACTGCATTCATAGTTCATTCCTTCGTTTAGCCACTCATTTAGTATCCATTTCTTGTCTTACGATATGTCATGTTCTGTGTTAAGTACTAGTGCTAAAATAATGGAGACACGGTTTTTAACCCTGAAAAAGATAGTAATAAGGTATTGACAGATCAATAATTGCCACTATGGCTTAGGTGCTAGGAAAATAAAGAAGAGGAACTAAAGGACCTCACGCCATTCAAACAACTTTGGGGTGATGGGCTTCACGGAAAAGTTTTCCAGCAAAGGTGTTACCCAGGATGGGTCTGAGAAATGAACAGGGGGCATTAGTCAGCAAAGGTAAAGCCTTCAATAGGCAAAGAGCAGTGGAAGCAGAAGCACAGGGACCATATGAAGTTGACAAACAGGTATAAAAAAGGAGGTAATAAAAGCTGAAGATGAGAAGGGAAGCAGGGGACATTCTGGTCCAACGTGAAGAGTTTGGGTTTTATCCTCAAGAAAGGCCGTTGAAAGGGAAGGGACATGAATATATCTGTGTTTTGCCAAAGATCAGTTTGGCTATAGAAACAAGAATGAAAAAGGATAGAGAGAAACCAGAGATATTTTCATAATCAAGGTGTAAGAGATCAAGTCCTGAGCTAAGTTAGTGACTGTGCTACTGGAATAGATAGATTTGAAAGAAGACAGAGTTTGAGCATTCCTAATCTGAGAATCTGAAATCTTAAATGCTCCAAAACCCAAAGCTATTTAAATGTCATGCTGGTGCTCAAAATGTTTCCGAGCATTTTGGATTTTGTAGTTTTGGGTTAGGAATGCTCAGTTTGTAAAGTCTATGCAAATATTCCCAAATCCCAAAAAACTATGAGATTAGAAACATTTCTGGTCTCAAGCATTTCTACTCAACCTACATGTAGGAGGGAAGTTCTATAGGATTAAGTGTCTAATGGACACATGTAGGTGAAAGGAAGTGACAATTTGGGATGACCACTCTGGTGTGTGGGTGGTTCCTACCAACAAGGCAAGGAATACAAGAAGAATAACAGATTTTAAAAAACTGGTGAATGAATTCATGTCAAATATTATCTCCCTCAAGGAAGTGGATTAAGTTTTTAAGGTGAAGCAAGCTGAACATACCTCGCTGGGAGGAAAGGAATGTAATTGGGATTGTAGCATTCCATTTCCCTAAAAAGGATGACTAAGAACAGCTAAAATAAAAACGGAACTGGCTCAAACCTCATTTTTATTGCATTGACTCAGTAATGTAACCTTAATTTAGGAAAACACAGCGTGTAGAGAATATGTAACATGTTTAGGAAAAGGCAGATCACATTCTTTAGAAAAATAAATGTGATCAAGGGATCTCTTTTCTTGTTTCTCAGGTTAGGAAACTTTTTGGAATGCTGCAGAATAGACTCTGTGGAAATGAGTGTGTACATCAAAGTCCTGGCAGGAAGAAGATGGTATGTGTAGGGAGCTTAGTTGACATAAGCTTAATGGAAGAACATTTTGGTGGTGCACGTAGAGTTAAGGGAACCTAAGAGTGAAGTTAAGGAGAGAAACACTGAATGGTGGGGAGCCATCATCGCCCCTAAGACTGAAGGAGTGAGAAGGAGTAACAGTGTTATTGGAACCCAGTAGAAACTGTAGCTGTGCGGAAGGAGCTGTCTGATAAGAGTTGTGGCTTTAGGTAGCACAATGCAATCTAAATATAGTAGAGAAGGAGACAGGAGAATAAAATCTACATCTTTCTTCCTGTTCTCTGATTTTTTTCCAGTGCCCAGATTCAGCCAGACACCAACTGGCATAGAAACCTTTCACTACAGTCCACTGATGTCAGGCCACGGCAGGGGAGGGCAAAGAATGAAGCTGGAGAGTGTTGGGGGCAAATGGAAAATAACAACTCAGTGTGTCCTTAGCCCTCAACACTGCCATTGTCTTGTGATTCCCCAGAAAGTATATGCTTTGCTGCCTTTCTGGGCCCAAATACCTAAATAGACTGTGCAGATATTATAATCTAAGAAGGAAGGGATTAATTTGAAAGAAGCTTTTAAAATAACTATATTCTTGAAGGAGTTAGTTGTTGATAGAAGTTACTTGAAACATTTCTTCCTTTCTAGGGAAAAGATAAAATTTGAAGGATATTCTTGTTGAGTGCAAAAACATGGCCTGCAGGGGCTTCTATTCAGAGAAGGGCTGAGCGCTACGTTCAATTTGAATTTAAAAATTCCCCTGGCTAGGTCTGGTTTCTTTTCTGCTAAGCCTTGTTTTGGCACAAATATCTGACTGGTCCAGATTTTTTTCCCTGTGGCCTGGAGCAGACTTTTGGAGGCTGTATTTGCCTCTTTTGGTTGCTGTTGTGCAGGGAAGAAAGAGAAATTCAGAGATTTGTTTCTCCAATACTTAGCTGGCTGTCATGCTTCTCCCACTTATGTGCAGATTGTGTGCCTAACCATGGGTCCTTTCCAACCTTGGAATCACTTCCATTTTGGGGAGGCAGTGAAAGGTAGGAGGCTGTTCATCTAG